TCGGCTCGGTGCGAACTGGTTTGAAGTTCGGCCGCGCGTGGCAGTGGCGCGCGGGTCGCGAGTAAAAAGGCTCAGCAGTCAGTCGTCCTTAGGCAGTGCTCACGATTGGCACGCTGCCAATTAAGCGCGGGAACTCGGAATAATTAAGCGCGGACAGTAAAAATACGGTCTAGGAATTTGTGGCGCGTATCCCTACTGGAGAGCTTCCCCGGGACTTATTGGGTCCGACTCAGAATCTGTATAAGTGCATTCGACAATATTAGCTAGTGCGGCCTCTGTATTCTAGAACTAACTGTTGCAACGCGAAACGGTAGTGACCTTAAACCTTATACCCAGCGATAGTTAGTGGCTTCTGTAAGTTAGTTAATCGTACGATACAGTTAGGTGACTGTTATCGTGACGAATAAGGAAAGTGAATGTGGACAAAGCCTCGGAAGGCCCCCTCAAGTTGGAGCGGTGTCGACGCCCGGGCTGCTGCCGACGGCTAAGGTCTAGGTTCAATCACCATCAGTCACACCCAGGTACACACCACATCACCATTCTTTCCCTTGCACTACACAACCACATGCGACCTGACCGACTCCGGAGGGACCAGTCGCCTTGGATATAGGTAAGTAAGCTTCGTCCAATTCCTTCCGGTCGACTGGCCGTAGTATAACGCTCCCCCATATATTTTAGTGTAATTAGAGAGATTCCACGTGGCCACATTGAGGCTCGACCTGCGTCTGCTTGGGAAGTCTTCGGCTCATGGGCCCCTGAGCATCTGATCCTTTAAAGGAGCAGTATTTAACCGAATAAGCAGCCAGAAGTAAATGGAGAAAACCGCAGCCAAATATTAAAGAGAATGACATCGCCATCATCAGGGACGAAAACCTTCCCCCGGGAAAGTGGCCCCTTGGCCGAGTTATGCAGCTACACCTGGGAAACGACGGGTACGTCAGAGTTGTCACTCCTAGAACCAAAAACGGAACTTTACAACGGCCAATCGTGAAGCTTTCAATTTTACCGGTTGAGCAATATCAAGACGGGACATATAGTTTTTTTTTTTTTTTTTTTTTTTTTTTTTTTTTTTTTTTTTATAGGAGAGGGGGCAAACGAGCATGCGGCTCACCTGATGGTAAGTGACTACCGCCGCCCATGAACAACCGCAACACCAGGGGAATTGCAGATGCGTTGCCGGCCTTTTAAAAAGGAGTAGGCTCTTTTCTTGAAGGTCCCTAAGTCGTATCGGTCCGGAAAAATCCCTGGTGGTAAACTATTCCACAAGGAAGTTGTGCGAGGAAGAAAACATCTTCTAAATCGCACAGTGGTGGACCGCCAATCATCCAGATGGTGTGGATGGTATCGGGAGTTCTGCCGCGATGTGCGTTCGTGAAATTTGGCGGCTGGGATTAATCCGAACAATTCCTCAGAGCACTCCCCATGGTAGATGCGAAAGAAAATGCAAAGAGATGCAACATCTCTTCGCAGTGCCAATGAATCGAGCCGATCGGAAAGGGCTCGGTCGTCGACGATTCGAGCCGCTCTGCGCTGGATGCGGTCAAGTGGAAGGAGCTGGCACTGGGGAGCCCCTGCCCAGAGATGGGAACAGTATTCCATGTGAGGCCGAACCTGCGCCTTGTAAAGTTGCAGGCGGTGTGCCGGCATGAAATACTGTCCCGCTCTGCTGAGCACGCCAAGCTTTTTAGAGGCCAATTTGGCCTTCTCTTCCAAGTGACCACGAAACTGCACGTCACTTGATATGTCGACTCCGAGGATACCGATACTGGCTGAGGCAAGAAGGGGAGTGCCTTGAAACTGAGGAGATACGACAAAGGGGTTCTTTTTAGCGGTAAACGCGCAAACTTGTGTCTTCTGAGGATTAAACTGGACTAGATTTAGTCGCCCCCAATCCGAGACTTTGTCCAGCAAAGACTCGACTTCATACACAAGTTTGTTCCGGTACTCGGCGACGTTTTCCCGAGAAATATTGGCCCGGCCGGTGTATAGAGCATCACCAGTGCTGTCATCCGCATAGCAATGAATGTTACCAGTTAGCAACATATCATTGATATGCAGAAGAAACAGCGTTGGTGATAGCACACAGCCTTGTGGAACACCAGCGTTAATAGGCTTGTAGTCAGAACATGCACCGTCTACAACGACCTTGATGCTCCGATCTGCAAGAAAGCTGGTGATCCAATTGCACAATTTCTCGGGAAGCCCATAGGAAGGCAGCTTTGAAAGAAGCGCTTTGTGCCAAACCCGATCAAAGGCCTTCGCAATGTCCAGACTAACGGCCAACGCCTCCCCCTTGGACTCTACTGCCTCCGCCCATCTATGGGTCAGGTAGACAAGAAGATCACCAGCTGATCGACACCGACGAAAACCGTATTGGCGGTCACTAATCAGCTGGTGATCCTCAAGGTACCGGATGAGCTGGCAGTTAATAATGGATTCCATTATTTTGGAGAACAAGGAGGTGATCGCGATAGGCCTATAGTTGGACGGGTCTGAGCGGTCGCCTTTTTTAGGGATCGGGTGGACAAAAGCTGTCTTCCATGAATTCGGGACTACGCCTTGGGAGTAGGAGTACCGGAAAAGACGCGTTAGGACCGGTGCCAACTCCGGAGCACACGTCCTCAGCACAATTGGGGGGATTCCATCAGGCCCACTCGACTTCTGGATGTCCAGGGAGAGCAGTGCTTTGCGAACCGAGCGTTGTGAGAACAGCACATCCGGCATGGAGCACTCACACCGCGGGATGGTCGGCGGTGTTTTCCCCCCGTCATCAAGAGTCGAGTTGGACGCAAAAAGGGAGCCTAAAAGGTCGGCTTTGTCTTTTGCGTCATGGGCCAGTGAGTCATCCTCCCTGTGCAGAGATGGTAGTGATGGCTTACAGAAATTCCCTTGGACAGCCTTGGCGAGAGACCAGAATGCACGGGTTCCCGAAGGAAGGCGAACTAGTTTCTCGCCAATTCTGCCTATGTGCTCTGACTTTGCCTTGGCAATAACTCTTTTGAAGGACCTGGAGGCGAAGTTATACTTCTTTTTAAGTGTGCTGGTGTTTACATCCCGAGTCACCGAAGCTGCAGCCCAGGCTTGATAACACTCCTGCTTACTGCGCAATGCAGTCTTACAGGAGCGACCAAACCAAGGCTGAGATCTGCCACCGATGGGTACCACAGATGATGGAATAAATAGTTCCATTCCCTGTAGCACCACATCAGTGACAGAGTCAGCAACAGCACTGGGATCATCCGGCGAGAAGCAAACCCGCCCCCATGGGTAGGATGCAAAGAAAGACCGCATTCCGTCCCAATCCGCCGACCTGTAATGCCAAACGCGGCGGCAACCTGCAGAACGCAACCGCGAAGGGAGCGTGAGTGGCACCATACTCCGGATCAGACAATGGTCCGAAGAGCCGAGAGGGGCATCGACGGAAACCTGATATCCGTCCGGATGAGAGGTCAGCAGAAGGTCCAACAGGGAAGGTGTATGATCTGCCACATCTGGAATCCGCGTAGGCGAAGTAACCAGTTGTGTCAGACCATATGCCAAGGCAAAGTCATAAACAGATCTCCCCGCATGATCGGTTAAACGTGAACCGAGCCATTCGGCATGGTGGGCGTTAAAATCGCCAAGGATCACGATCTCTGCGGATGGGACCTGTTGTAGCAAGGAATCTTTAGCCATTTGGACGTGGTCGATGAGTCGGTCTGTTTCGGCATTACCGCTATGGGACCTATAGAGGCACCCGTAGACGCGCGGATGGTCGTCGCTGTCTACGCGTAGCCAAAGGATGGACAGGTCCGAACCTTCAAGACTGCCGAGGCGTCGAGAACAGATGTCCTCTCTAACATACACGCAAACTCCAGCCCGAGGCACAAAGGAGTGCTCCAATTTGTACCCCGGGTAGGAGAGATACGAAATATCAGTTGGAGAGGAAACCTGCGTCTCGGTCAAAAAGAGCAAGGCCGGCTTCGCCGTCTCGAGATGGTAGTGGACGGCGTTTAGGTTACAGTGAAGTCCCCTGATGTTGCAGAAATTCACGGATAGCGTGGCAGGGGTCGCCTTGGTATTGTTGCTCAGCTTGCCCCGAGCAGTTTTGTTTTTGAGCGGAATTTTGCCCCCCCCAGAATACGCGGGGCAGCCTGAGCACCCACGCTCAGGATTGGAATAACATGGTCGTGGATGCTCAGCGAGGGATTCTCCAGGGGTACTGGTACCCTCCTGGGGTAGTCTATTGTCTAATTCCGCTACCATGTTGATGGGGGGGGGGGGGGGGGAATTGGGCCTCCGGCCACCTGCACTCACCAGACGAAACGCAGAAGCAGAGCCTCTACTTCACGCCGGTATTCTGTGAGGTCGTGGTTTCTTGATTTTGTTTTTCAACAGAAAAACATAATCAAGAAAATGAAAATAAATCAATCGCTAAATCAAGCAGAAGAAAAAAATATTGCTTAACATCAATGATTAAATCACTATTATTATTCTTTATTACAATCACCTCGACAGTACAGTGCTCCTATAACATAACACCATTACAAAACAGCAGTCTCTATTTTGATACCATAACAAACATGCATTTAATACGAGATGACTGGCGCCTCGTTGTCTACTATGACACATTCCCTTATCATGAAGGTAATACGGCGCTAACAAAATATATGAAATACTTAAATAACATGTGTGTAATTATGAAGGCACGATCACATTGCGAAGAGATCTTATTGCAACTTCGGCATGAGTTCACGGAACTGCAATATTATAATAACATTTTAACTATTCAACTTGATAATACATTCGAGACCCGCCCACGTTGCCGGCGCGGCTTGATCAATGGGGTAGGAAATATTGCTAATAGTTTATTCGGTATTTTAGACGAAAGTTATGCAGAAAAATATGAAAAAGACAATGAACTTATCAGACGAAATCAAAACCATATAGCCACCCTATAGAAAAATCAAACGACCGTAGTTGAAGCGGAATTTATTTTATTAAAACTCACCGAAGAAATCATGGAGAAGAATCACAAGAATATTAACAGAAAATTTATAGCAATAGAAAATTCCGTAGATCAATTCAAGAGAGAGCTTCAGAATATGCCCTTCACAAGTGAATTTATCAGTACAGCCGTGATGACAAGTAACCTTATAATCAGCCTCAGAAATATACAACAAAATTTACTCGACACTATTACAAATATATACAACGGAAAATTTGGTTTCCACTTGTTATCTCCCAATCAGTTAAGACAAGAACTGAACGTTATAGCAAGCCAGCTCCCGAAAGACCTATCATTACCAATAGATAACTATAATTTATATGAAATCTACAACATACAGCAGGTGCGAGCTCGAATAAGGGGTAATTACATCATATTCGAACTCAAGATACCTCTCATCAGCAGAGATATGTTTGAAGTCCTGGAAGTTATACCAGTAACTTATATATCAGAAAATAAAGAAGAAATTTTCGTTGTACCGGTATCAAGATACATTGCTATCAATTTAAAGAAATACTCCCTAGTACCACTGACCGAAAAGGACCTAGATTATGTACTAGAAGAGATTTCAAAATTATTTTGTGCCATCATAAAAAGCCTATTTACTACATAAAGGACGATCAAAGTTTCTGCGAGAATCTACCCTTATCAAGAAAATGTAAAACAATTACCAGATCATGCTATAATCGCTAGAAAGAATTAAATAAACTGAATACATATTTTTATTTTTTTTGCGACCAGTGCAAAATGAAGTTACTATGTGACGATCAAGTTACGGCAGTGCAATTGACCCGCTCTGGCTTTTTTAATGTGGATCAAGGTTGTATAGTTAAAGCAGCTGATTTCTTTGTTTATTCACACCGACAAGAACTTAGCGAGATGAACATCCGTTCTGATATACGAGCCCCTAAGATATCACCAATTAATCATATTATCAACATATGGCTACCCGATCGCTCCTTACCGAACAATACGAATGATGATATAGCCAATAATCTACAGCTGCAGATGATCAAGCAACAGATTGAGATTATGAAGAACAACGAGCCCCTAGCAGAGAGGGTTTCTTATCATGATGTCCACCACTACGCTGCGATATATGTGTTATTTGCGGTCCTTGCGGTGGGCGCCCTGGCGTACAGCTGGAGGCGCTATGGGCGGTCGGCGCCGGGAGCACCCGCGGAGGCGGGAGTGTCGGTGCCTATGACGGAACAGGAGACGTCGGTAACATAAGTTCTACCGAGTGTCAGTGCTCATTGTTATGGGCAATCAGTGTCAAAGTGTGAGTGCAAATATATATAGGCCAACAGCATCAACATCACAGTGTACGAGCATGAAATGCAACGTACAATTGTCAAGTCATCATTTCACAACTTGACATCTTTTACATATTTCCGCGACAATTGTGCTATAAAATCAGTTCGCTTATAGCCAACAACTCATTATCAGTAATTCTAGCCTTTAAGATTTGTAATTTATCCAAAATAAATTTTATCAGACTTATCAAGCGTTATCAGTTTATAATCCCCTTAGTGTCGGTACAACCCCGAACACAGAAACTAGACTTTCTTGACATTGACCATAAGTGAGTTCGCGGTTTGAATGCTATAACCGCTAAAAATGGGCCCAAACAGGAAGATTATAACTGATGACTTATTTTGAAACCAGACTTATAGGGAGTGTATTCAAAGTATTCAAAAAAAATTAAAAAGAATGGATTTTGAAAATAATACAATTTACATCATATCATTCACATGCCAAAGGTACAAAGATGATCATAGTTGACTATCTATCTGTATTATTCCCGGCAATGCTGTTTTACGCGAACGTTCGTTACTGTCAAATACATAGGTATGTCCTAGGGTTGCACTGCCGGGAATAATACAGATAGATAGTCAACTAGTTCTCTTTACGGAGTTCAGAAAAGACTTGTGGCAAACAAATGCTAGCATACCATTCTGCATTAACCGATCTTTGCCCTTCAAGAGGAATAGTCGTAACATGGCCGGTTTTGGAGACAAACGTGGCCACCATTTTTTTGCAACACTCCGTGAACGAACAATTTTTGTTGGCTTTAACTCATTTTCGAACACCGAAACTCGTGACTGGTTTTTTGTTTCGGGTTCGTACGCGTATACCCAGGATTCGTCACCTGATACGATGTTGTATACAGCATTTGAGGATCCTGCGTGGAATCTTTCCAGAGTTCTGACGCACCAAGTAACGCGAGCCGCTTTTTGCTCTTCACAGAGCGAATGCGGTATCCATCGGGAAAACAACTTTTTTACACCAAATTTTTCATGCAAGATTATTTTTATTGTATTTGACTCATGCCAATGTCTAAAGTTGCCTGAATTTTGCGGTATGTAACATTTCGATCTTCCTCAATTAGCTTACGCACAGCATCAACGTATTGTTGGGTGACTGCAGTTTCCTTGACGAGGATCATCACTGAGCTTGACACGTCCACGTTGAAATTCAGCAAACCAGCGATAAATTGTGGTTTTGGATGGGACTTTATCACCAAATGCAGAAATCATCCGATCAAGACACTGTTTTTGTGTTAAACTACTTTTTAAACAAATAAATGGTATTCGATTTTTAAAACCAAGGAGTTTTCAATTAAAAAGATTTTAATATGACGGGAACAGTGGAAATATTCCATTCCCGATACTTTTAGTGCAGCCTATATATATATATATATATATATATATATATATATATATATCATCATCATAATTACAGCCCTTCACAAGTCCACTGCTGAACATAGGCCTCCCCCAAGGAATGCCACAAAGCACGGTCCTGAGCCATCTGCATCCATCGACTTCCTCCATATCTTACCAGGTCGTCACTCCATCTAGTGGGGGGATGCCCTATACTTCGCCTGCCGGTACGAGGCTGCCACACGAGACCCTTTTTTCTCCAACGGTTGCCGGTTCTTCGAGCTATATGGCCAGCCCATTACCACTTCACCTTACTAATCCGTTGGGCTATGTCAGTCACTCTGGTTCTATTGCGGATATCCTCATTTCTAAGTTTGTCACACAGAGAAATTCCAAGTATAGCACTCTCCATAGCGCTCGCTGAGCGACCTTGAGGTTCCTCATCTAGCCAGCAGTGAAGGACCACGTCTCAGTTCCATATGTCATCACTGGCAACACGCACTGGTTGTACAGTCTCGTTTTAAAGTTTTGAGGTATACCTGACGGGAAGATATGCCGTTATTTCCCGAACGCTGCCAAACAGAGTTGAATCCGTCGATTGACCTCTCGGTCGAAGTTGGACTTACCTAGTCGGACTATTTGTCCCACATAAACATACTCGTCAACACCTTCGAGCTTAGTGCTCCCAACAACTATCGGACATTAAACATGATCTTTGTTTTGTCCATGTTCATCTTAAGACCTATCCGTTGGGAAACACTATTGAGGTCATTGAGCATAGTGCTTAGGTCCTCCAGCGATTCTGCCATAAGGACTATATCGTCGGCAAATCAAAGGTAAATGATGTACTCGCCATTGATGTTCATACTGTATCGTTTCCAGTCCAGAAGCTTGAAAACATCTTCTAATGCAGCGGTGAAATATTTCGGGGATATGATGTCATCCTGTCTTACACGTCTCTGCAATTGGATAGATTTTGTACTCTGGTTCTGTACTCGGATATCCATCGTAGCCTTACTGTGCAAGCACTTCAACACTTTGATATACCGACAGTCAACTTGGCACCGCTGAAGGGACTGCAGCACCGCCCAAATTTCGACGGAATGAAAGGATTTCTCATAGTGCACATACGCCAGATATAGTGGCAAATTGTAATCTTCGGGCTTGTGTACAATTTGCCGAAGCGTATATATGTGGTCTATGGTGCTAAAGCCTTTTCTGGAACCGGCTTGCTCGGGAGGCTGGAAGTCGTCAAGTCTGCGCGCGAGACGATTCGTAATGACTCTCGTAAACAGCACGTAGACGCAGCTCAGAAGGGAAATCGATCTGTAGTTCTTCAAGAGAGCGCTGTCGCCTTTCTTGAAGATTAAGACCACTGCAATTCTGCTCCACGCCTCCGGAGTAGTGCCACCATGGAGGACGGAATTAAAGAGCTTCTGAAGGACTTCAAGTACCGGTTTTCCACCCGCTTTCAGAAGCTCCGCTGTAATTCCATCCTCGCCTGGGGCCTTGCCGTTTTTAAGGTGCTGGAGAGTCATTCTAATCACGCTCAGACTGACGTCCGGGATATCATCGGAATAATTCATAATTCATAATACATTTATTGCATGTCATAAAGTATAAAGTTGTTACGATATATCTACAGAGCATGTGACAACCCTGTACGGGCGTAGCATATTAAGATGGATTCTAATTGTTAATTAATATAAAATCAAATTAAATTACAATTTTTAAGGAACATAATCTATACATTATTATTAATTAATTTATTAAATATCAAACCAAGTAATACACACATTTATTTAAAATGAAATGTCAATAAATATTTCATCTTAACTACTTCAGACAGGACAGAGGCCTGCAGGATCCGGTGACTTCAAACGGGACAGAGGTTTACAGGATCCGGCGACTTCAGGCAGAGCAGAGACTTGTAAAAATTATTCAAATTAAATGCAAATTTTTTTGTAAATGTCCAAGAGGAAAGAGTATTTATGTGGAATTATCGAAGTAGAAGCAACAGACCGGTAGCGAATTTGAATAAAATTGTCATGACAACCAAATAAACAACGATGTCAAAACATGACAAATTTTGGTTTTAGGCTCGTAATAGAAAAACGGCAAGATTTAAGTGAAAAATGAGATATTATTGATATAGGAAAAAAGGTAGCGCACCTGCGCGCACAAAGTCCAAAATTGCAGAGTTACGGAAAACTAAATAAAAGATCGAAAAAGGTAGACTCCATTGACACCAATTTAAAAGTGCTGATAATGTGAAAATACGAAGTAGAAATGATTTGTTATTGTGTTCTTATGGTTTAAAATCGTTACAGGATCCTATGGAAATAAAGGTGATGTAAAATATCCAGTTTTGAGATGAATGGAGAAAATCGAAACAGAATGGAAAAATGAATTTAAAATAATGTAAAATGATATGTAAGTAGCATAACACTACAGGGGATAGTGCACGCAATTGAGGGAGGGCGGGAGGTGCTTCTTCATACTAGGTAAGACACATCATTTTATTTTATAACGCGGATATTAGTGAAGTAAATTTTTGTAAAAGCTTTTATATAATGGATTTCCTCAAAGTAACGCCTGATTCTAATAATTATAAAATGTATAATTTGTCATTAAATTATCCATTTAAATTATAATAGCTTTTTACAATTATCATTTTCTTAAGTACTATTTCAAATTTACGACACTGCACTAGGGACATGTAGTAGGGACCATTTTTAAATATTGTCAGATGTGCGGTAGGAGCAAACAGGTTATAACCACGGTAACGTGCGCCGTATCGATTGGATCTATCCCTAATTCGTTGAAAATAATAAGGACTTTTTTCTAACAAAGCGGCGTAATTCAAAAATATAAATGCACGTCACAGTTAATAAATTGTATTTAGGGAACAACTTTCGACATGAATCTTTTGGAGCTACGAATGCAA